CATTTTATTCCATTTCTGTGATGAATGCCAGTTACTGCTATTGTTTATTGAAAGGATAGGTGATGAGACTGACAACGATTGTTCAGTGAATGGGGACTGCAATCAGACAATATTTGTATGGTCGTTCCATGAATCTAGTAAGCTGCTTTCCAGATCATGTTCTCTGTTGTTCCCCTAGCATTTTAAAACATGTTGGCAACATTTTTGGGCAATATATGTATATTTTATTATAATCCATTTTTCCCCCTCTGGTTTCTTTAATTGTGTCCCCATAGAATTTGGCATTGTGGCTGTGATATTCTCTGCAGCGCTAGCTTACTTCCCATCACGACCTCCGTTCCCACCCAGCGTGGCTGCAGCTAGTCAGAGGCTCAGCTATAGAAGAAGTTTTTGTAGGCTGCTCAGGTATGTATATGGTAGCTAAATTAGACAGAAAGTCAACAGAGTTTCTGCCTCTATTTATTTATTTATTTATTTGTTTGTTTGTTTGTTTGTTTACTTACTTACTTACTTACTTACTTACTTACTTACTTACTTACTTACTTACTTACTCCTTAAGCGTTATACCATGTTCTGCAGGAGTTTCTTAAATTTTGAAATTGTGGAATCTCATTTAATTAGTATGGCACAACATGTAATATAGTATTTCTTACATTAAGTGTTAACTTGAAGTGGTTACGGACAAGGGTATCTATAGACACCATCGCTGACTATAGGGGGCGAAATCTTGGCCCCCTCAGAGAGGGCACGCAACTTGGGAGTCCTCCTGGATTCGCGGCTGACATTGGATGACCATTTGTCGGCCGTGACCAGGGGGGCGTTTTATCAGGTTCGCCTGATTCACCAGTTGCGGCCTTTTCTGGACCGGGACGCCTTTTCTGGACCGGGACGCCTTGCGCACCGGGACGCCTTGCGCACAGTCACTCACGCTCTCGTCACCTCCCGCCTGGACTACTGTAATGCCCTCTACATGGGGCTCCCTCTGAGGAGCACCCGGAGGCTCCAAATGGTCCAGAATGCGGCCGCGCAGGCGGTGTTGGGAGGGACTCGTCGCTCCCACGTAACACCGCTGCTGCGCGAGCTGCACTGGTTGCCAGTGGCCTTCCGGGTGCGCTTTAAGGTGTTAGTTACCACCTTTAAAGCGCTCCATGGCATAGGACCTGGCTATCTCCGAGACCGCCTTCTGCCACAGATTCCCTCCCATAGACCGGTACGCTCCCACAGAGCGGGTCTCCTCAGGGTGCCGTCGGCCAAGCAATGTCGGCTGACGACCCCCAGGGGGAGGGCCTTCTCTGTGGGTGCCCCTACCCTCTGGAATGAACTACCCCCCGAGATCCGGACGATTCCGGATCTCCTTACTTTCCGTCGCGCCCTCAAGACATGGCTTTTCCAACAAGCGGGCCTGGCCTAGGGAGGATTTTAAATTGGGTTTATTTTTTAGAAAATTTTAACACCACAACTTTAAAATATTTGGTTTTAATTTGGTTTTATTTGGTGGGGATTGTGGGTATGTTCTTGTTTTAAATATGTTGTGAGCCGCCCTGAGTCCCGTCGGGAGAAGGGCGGGATATAAATCAAATAAAATGAAATGAAATGAAATGAAATAAATGTTAAAAGATTAAAAAAAAGGGAAATTCACATCAATAACCAACTGTGAGTAGAAAATAAAACAGGCACTACATTTATTATGTTTCCAAACAGTAGGTAATGCGTCTGTCTTTTCAGAATGGCAGATCCACGATGAAATTATTTTCTGTAAAACAAATTCTCAGGAAGATTAATTGATTACCGAGCGGTAATAAATGGTGGTGGTTTCTATGTTGTTGTTCTTTATATTCTTACAGTAATGAGTCCCCACCTTTTTTTCAGGGATGCCATTAACCGATAATTAATTTTCTGCTATTTGAATGTGTCACTTTAGTTTGCTGTTTACATGCATTTCTCTCAGTTCTCCTCTTTCCATCATCTACTTGCATATTTTGAGAGATCAAAGATGATTTCTAAATAGATTTATTGCAAACAACTTTTGCAATGTGGGTACAGAGACTGAACAAACTTGAATATTTTGGTTGATTAAGAAACAATCTGTTTGCTGCTTGGTTTTTGGTGATCGGAAACAGAATGAGATGATTGATATAAATTGTGCCCAATCCAAGATGCTGAAAAAGTGGCAATTCTATTTAGGACATTTAGCAATCTTACTCATATTGTCATCTGAGAGCCAGCATCCTGTCTGTCACCAAGCTGTGTTGTAAAAATGTTACTGTCAAATAAAAACCTGAATAACAACTAGAGCAGCAGGTAGAGTATAAAATCTCTACTGACATGACTCTACCTGAGAACTATGAAAGTACAGTAAAACGGACTTCTGATTCATGACACTGAATCTGAAATTCCTGTAAAGAGTGAATTATAAAAAAAATAACTTTACTAACCTTTTAATAATAATTAAATAATTGAGATTTAAATAGTACACATGTTTCTGGTTTTGAGGCTTTGATTAATGAAAAGCAGTCTAATTCATTGTTAACTACTTGAGTTTTATAGCTGTCCTCTAATCTACTTTATTTTCAATTTTTTTATTCACCTTGTCTTTCAGATACTTTTCATTAATATTTTTCTCCGAAACAGTACTTTAGAAGTAATCCACTCATAGGGGAATTGCTTTTACCTGACCAGATAACGCATCATATGTATTCAGTGCACTATAATATAGTGCAGNCATTTTATTCCATTTCTGTGATGAATGCCAGTTACTGCTATTGTTTATTGAAAGGATAGGTGATGAGACTGACAACGATTGTTCAGTGAATGGGGACTGCAATCAGACAATATTTGTATGGTCGTTCCATGAATCTAGTAAGCTGCTTTCCAGATCATGTTCTCTGTTGTTCCCCTAGCATTTTAAAACATGTTGGCAATATTTTTGGGCAATATATGTATATTTTATTATAATCCATTTTCCCCCCTCTGGTTTCTTTCATTGTGTCCCCATAGAATTTGGCATTGTGGCTGTGATATTCTCTGCAGCGCTAGCTTACTTCCCATCACGACCTCCGTTCCCACCCAGCGTGGCTGCAGCTAGTCAGAGGCTCAGCTATAGAAGAAGTTTTTGTAGGCTGCTCAGGTATGTATATGGTAGCTAAATTAGACAGAAAGTCAATACAGTTTCTGCCTCTATTTATTTATTTATTTATTTATTTATTTATTTATTTACTCACTCCTTAAGTGTTATACCATGTTCTGCAGGAGTTTCTTAAATTTTGAAATTGTGGAATCTCATTTAATTAGTATGGCACAACATGTAATATAGTATTTCTTACATTAAGTGTTAACTTGAAGTGGTTACGGACAAGGGTATCTAATAAATGTTAAAAGATTAAAAAAAAAGGGAAATTCACATCAGTAACCAACTGTGAGTAGAAAATAAAACAGGCACTACATTTATTATGTTTCCAAACAGTAGGTAATGCATCTGTCTTTTCAGAATGGCAGATCCACGATGAAATTATTTTCTGTAAAACAAATTCTCAGGAAGATTAATTGATTACCGAGCGGTAATAAATGGCGGTGGTTTCTATGTTGTTGTTCTTTATATTCTTACAGTAATGAGTCCCCACCTTTTTTTCAGGGATGCCATTAACCGATAATTAATTTTCTGCTATTTGAATGTGTCACTTTAGTTTGCTGTTTACATGCATTTCTCTCAGTTCTGCTCTTTCCATCATCTACTTGCATATTTTGAGAGATCAAAGATGATTTCTAAATAGATTTATTGCAAACAACTTTTGCAATGTGGGTACAGAGACTGTACCCACATTGGTTTTTGGTGATCGGAAACAGAATGAGATGATATAAATTGTGCCCAATCCAAGATGCTGAAAAAGTGGCAATTCTATTTAGGATATTTAGCAATCTTACTCATATTGTCATCTGAGAGTCAGCATCCTGTCTGTCACCAAGCTGTGTTGTAAAAATGTTACTGTCAAATAAAAACCTGAATAACAACTAGAGCAGCAGGTAGAGTATAAAATCTCTACTGACATGACTCTACCTGAGAACTATGAAAGTAAAACGGACTTCTGATTCATGACACATCTGAAATTCCTGTAAAGAGTGAATTATAAAAAAAATAACTTTAATAACCTTTTAATAATAATTAAATAATTGAGATTTAAATAGTACACATGTTTCTGGTTTTGAGGCTTTGATTAATGAAAAGCAGTCTAATTCATTGTTAACTACTTGAGTTTTATAGCTGTCCTCTAATCTACTTTATTTTCAATTTTTTATTCACCTTGTCTTTCAGATACTTTTCATTAATATTTTTCTCCCAAGCAGTATTTTAGAAGTAATCCACTCATAGGGGAATTGCTTTTACCTGACCAGATAATGCATCATATGTATTCAGTGCAGTATAATATAGTGCAGATTTCATTATCTTGAGGGCAGACATATTTTACCTAGTACTTTTAGGGGTGGTTATTGTGTGAATATATTCACATGCAGTATTATTTGTTGGAAACGTAAAACTTAACGAAGACTTAGGCATTATTGATCAGATAAGTGGGTTTATAAAGGAGTTCATTTTTAACTAATCATACTATATAAGCTCATTTTAGCCAGAAAACATAGATGTCTGGATAAACAGTATATCTGTTTCACACTTAAAAATTGAAATTGCTTTGAATTTTGGCTTATTATTTACAAATAGCACTCACTGCCTCCACTGACTTTTTATGGCCCCGGGAGCAATTAAAATAACCTAGAATTTCTGCAACTTTGTTTTGTTTACAGCCGTATCTCAATTGAGATTCCCAGCTAATAAATCAGAATGCAATGCCAAAGTTGTTTTTAGCTTCTTATTCTTTCTGAAGCATATAGCCAGAAATTCTAGTTTGGACATAATGATAAATAAATCTAGAATTTATATTTAGCCACAGATTTCCCACATAATTTCAGTTTATGTGTGCACCAGTCTTAGATTCCAGGGTGCTAGCAAAAAATTGCACCATTTCAAGCTAGGAGGCGCTATTGCTGTGGTGAAGATCATGTGTATCTGTTTTGAATGCAACTTGCTCAGTGTCCTGTTCTTCCGACTGTTCAATATATTTCCTCCAGGAGATCAAGGTGACGTGCATTCTTCTATTCCTTTTTTAAAAAAACTTCACAATAACTCTGAAGTAAGAATTCCCCCCCTAGACTGGAGATTGTGACTGATCCAGTATAAAATATATACCTAATGGGGATTTAAACCTGGATCTCCCCATTTTAGTTCAGTATTCTAAACACTTCATAGAAGAATATGAATCAGTATCAGCATTGATGGCAACTTTGCAGCATCAATATGAGAAACGGTATTTTTATTGCTATGTCAGCCCACAACAAATTACCGTAGGCTATGC